TCAGGAGGGGTAACAGCAGGGAGTAGTTTACAGGTTCCTGTACAGACAGTGTTTACTCCAAGTCCTTCACAGGTTGCAGTCACCACGCAGCCTGCTGTCTCGCAGTCAGTGCAGCCTCAGGGCACACAGCCCCAGCAGCTAGCACATCAACCTGTTTCACCAGGTCCACAGCCCGGATTGATGCAAGGACAGGGACAGACACAGTGGGTTCCAAAGACGGCCATATCCGCTCCCAAACCTTTCACAGGGACAAGAGAGGCGAGGACCTCGACACATGGTTGAGGGCAGTGCCGGTCTACGTCAGGTGCAAACTCACCTTGCCGCACGAAGAAGTGCTTGTGGCTGCGTCTTACCTTGAGGGTAGTGCAGCGAGATGGTTGAGTGGTCTCGTACAACTTCAAGGATACAGTCATGACTTCCGCGCTTGGGCGGCCTCCCAGAAATTGGAGGACTTCCTGAAGATGGTGGAGGAGAGGTGGCATGATCCTCAAGAGGCTCAAAGGGCCACTGACCCGATCCTGACACTGCACACGCGGCAGTTTAAGTCAGTAAGGGAAGCCACCGACGCTGTCGAGCGTTTGATCTGTGTCCCTGGGGTACGCTCTGATCCTCAGGTCCTGTTGACTTCGTACCTGAGATGTTTTTCACAGCCTCTCAGGAACCAGTTGGCAAAAGAGGCCAACATCAATATGCACAACTTCCCTTCGTTTAGCAAGGTGGCCCTAGCCCTGGAAGCAAAGATAGGGCATGGACAGGCACCCACTACGGAAGGGAGAAAGAAGACACTGCCTCCCAACTGGAAGGCGAAAGGTCGCATCATGTTTGTCGACAACGATGGATCAACCATCGAGTTGGACGGCAACTTCCAGGAGGGAGTAGGTGCAGAGGCGGGTGGCGAAACTTCAGAGGGAGGAGTAGTCGCCGCCGTAACCCAGCAAAAAGGTAAAGGGACCGGTACACGCCCTAGGGGATCCCGGTCGAAGAGTCAAACAGACCCCAATGCTCCTCCATGGGAGAAAGCGGGTCTATCTGAGGACGTCTGGAGAGATCGGTGGGCACGGCAAGCTTGTATCAAGTGTGGCCAATATGGTCATAGCATGTACAAGTGCCGCAACAGGAAGGTCACCGAGAAGATCCCGCCCACTATGGGGCCGGCGGTAGGATCCTCTCAACCCGTTGGTAGCAACATTGCCAGTTCTCCAGGCAGTGCTCCGGGAAACACGTCGGGCCAATAGGAGTGGTAGTTGTTCCTACTAGGGTCGCGATGGTGGATTCACCCTCACCTTCGCGAGAGATGGCCCAAGCTACAGACTCTTCAGTCGTCCCACAAACACATTCATACCCATCGACCCTCTGTTCGATGAATGTGTTTGAATCCTTAGAGGAGCTAGAGGATGAGTGGTCTAGATCAGACCCACTAGCTTCTTGGACGGCGTTAGTCAAAGCCCCTAGGAGTGAAATGTTTGTCAGCGAGGTAGTCATAGGAGGTCGCAAGGCCGGGGCCTATTACGACACTTGCTCGACTAGGAACTTTTAGCCGCGCGTGCGTTGAGAGGCTGCGCTTACAGGGGCAAGTGCAGCGCCTGAGTCGACCTGTG